AAAGTTTTGTCATAGAGGAATCAGTTGGAAATGACATCAATCCTTTGTTGGATACATCCCAAAATGTACCAGTCAAGACTCCTAAGTCAAAAAATCGCCTTGTTAAAGATGCTAGGAACAAAGGTAAATCCTATTTCTCTGAAAAATCTGACAAGTTTGTGGGAGGGCGAAAATTTGTAGAGTACAACAAGTGTGACTTGTCACGAAATCACAAAAAGGTTTCATGTGGTATCTTCACTGAGGAAGACAGGCGTGAAATAAGGTATGACTATTATGGAATGGGCAATCTAGCTCTGCAGAGAGAATGGATTGCACGACATGTATCTCACAAGGCCCATTCACATGTGAAAAGTCGTAAGAAACAGACAATGAGGTATACTCTTCCTCGACCTTCTTCATTTTCTTATCCTGGAGAAATTGTCACTGTTTGTCGTAAGATGTTCCTGAACACTTTGGGAATTGCCGAAAGGCAAGTGCGAACTGTACTTGGAAAAACAAAATCTGGCACTGGTGTCCTGGGGAGGGAAAGAAGAGGTGGGACACAGAAACCTCAAATCCAAAAGCGACAAAAAATCATTGAACACCTACAGTGCTTCCCACGAGTGGAGTCTCATTACTGTCGCTCTTCCACAACATGCCAGTATCTTTCTGGGGAACTGACAAAACGAAGGATGTTCAATATGTTTGAAAATGAAAACCCAGGGTGTGCCTCTTACTCCCTGTACAAAGAGGTTATGAGAGAGCTCAAACTCAAATTTCATCGACCCAAAAAGGACAAGTGTGGGATTTGTGAGACTTTCCGCAAGTCTAATGAGGTTGAAAGAGACCAGATGAAAGTGAAATACAACATGCACAGACAAGAAATTTCAAAAGTAAGACAGATAAAGTCAGAGAGCAAAACTCGTGCCCAGCATGATGACAAGCATGCTGCTGCTGTGTTTGATCTGCAGCAAAACATGTACTTACCAAAATCAAATAGGGGTGAGTTGTTCTACAAGAGAAGATTAGCATGCTACAATTTTACTATTTACAATTTGGCTAATCATGCAGGAAGTTGTTACCTTTCAAATGAAACAGTAACAAGAAGGGGAGCTTGTGAGGTATCGACATACGTCCTTGACTACCTCAGCAATTGTGATAAGGAAGGAAAGACGTCAGTTGACTTCTTTTGTGATGGCTGTGTTGGCCAAAACAAAAACTCAATTGTCCCATCGATGGTACATAGGTTTGTATCCGAGGCCAAAAGTGTGCAAGTGGTAACATTCTACTACTTTGAAACCAATCATGGCCAGAGCGAGGGTGATAGCATGCATTCCACCATTGAAAAATGTCTTGCTCGCTCTGAAGAAGTTTTCCATCCTTGCCAGCTCTCTTCTATAATCAAGGAGGCAAGAAAAGATCCATGCCCATACACAGTCAGACATGTTCAAACCAATGACATTTTGGACTGGAAGACATATGGCCATAATTTAGGTATCCTGAAGTGCAGACTGGCGGATACTGGTGAGGCAATTGATTGGACGACCTTCAAGCAGATTAGAATAAGCAAAGAATTTCCTACCTCAATTCTTTTCAAAACATCACATAATACTAATGATTTCAGTATTCTTTCACTAGGCAGATCCCGCAGCCTGCGTTCTACCACTCCTGCAGTTCACATTGATCCTCCTTCCCAGCTCTACCAAAGCAGACCCAAACTATCTGCTGGGAAGTATAGCGATCTTGTCAGTCTATGCAGAGGCACATATCCTGTCATTTCCCAACCGGAACTAGTTGATTACTATATTAATCTACCTCATGAATAGATTACAGTCACTACCATGTCCACCTTTTAACTCTACTTTTTGTTTTTGTTTTTGCAGGACGAGGATCACTACCTGAGTTGGACAATCATCTACATGTATAGACTTTCGATGACTGCTGGTTTGTGTCATATGGTTTAAGGGAATGCTCTATAGATTTGTTTTGATTTGTTTTAAATTATTAATGCTTAGGCTGATGTCCAAACCAAAATTCCAATAGTATTGCAATGCAAGGCTGGAAGTCATTGGATATAACTGCTTGCATAAACTTGCACACTAATATTTTGCACCTTAGCCATGTTACTAGCACAGGGCTGGAATTCTTTTACACAGTTATGGGATCTAGAGTCAACTCAGTATCACTGCTTATATTAACTATCACTGCTTCTATTAACTATCACTGCTTCTATTAACTATCACTGCTTTTGTCATCTTGCACACTAATATTTTTGCACTTTGGCACAGGACTACAATTCGTTGACTTGGTTATGGAGTCACAAGCCAACTTTGAAGAATTGCTCTGCCGCAAAATATACGATATTTTGAAAATACCACTGCTTATATATTAACTTGCACACTAATGTTTTGCACTTTAATTAGCACAGGACTACAATTCGTTGACTCGGTTATGGAGTCAAAAACCAACTTTGAAGAATTGCTCTGTAACAAAATATGCAATATTTTGAAAATAACACTGCTTATATATTAACTTGCACAATAATGTTTTCCACTTTAGCACAGGGCTAGAATTTGTTGACTTGGTTAAGGAGTCACAAGCCAACTTTGAAGAATTGCTCTGTAACACTGCTTATATATATTAACTTGCACACTAATGTTTTCCACTTTAATTAGCACAGGACTACAATTCGTTGACTCGGTTATGGAGTCAAAAGCCAACTTTTAAGAATTGCTCTGCAACAAAATATATAATTTTTTGAAAATAACACTGCTATATAAAATTAACTTGCACACTAATGTTTTGCACTTTAGCACAGGACTAGAATTTGTTGACTCGGTTATGGAGTCACAAGCCAACTTTGAAGAATTGCTCTGTAGCAAAATATACAATATTTTGAAAATAACACTGCTTATATATTAACTTGCACACTAATGTTTTGCACTTTAGCACAGGACTACAATTCGTTGACTTGGTTATGGAGTCAAAAGCCAACTTTGAAGAATTGCTCTGTAACAAAATATACAATATTTTGAAGGAAAAAAAAACACTGCTACCCTCCCTGGTCATTGCAACATAGCTAAAATGCATGCATTTTTATTTTTATTTTACAAGCCTTTCTGTATATTGTTATATTTCATTCATAACCATAGTGTTGTCGACAATTTGTGTATATTTTGAAAGGGAAGACTTGTCCCATTTCATTCATGAGAGCAGTAAATGATCAGACCCGGTCATTTTTTAAACAAAGGGGAGGATAACAGAACAAAGGCAAACAAACAAAAAAAAATTGGGGGGAGGTGGGGATTATCAGTGAGCGAAATCATGAAACTGTTTCATATTTCTCCCAAAACTGTTTACAGGTTTCGTTTGTATTTTTCGCAAAGAAATATGGCCATAAGGTACCAATACAAGGGCAGAGGAAAAGGGCAACACCCAGAGAAGAAAGATTTCTTTGTGCCGTTGCTATGGAGGATGCGCGCCAAAATCAGAGGTTGTGATTATCCAACAAAATATAATAAATGTGTGAAAATTTACTTTCAATAAACTAGTACAATATATTCACCTCTAGAAACTGACTATAATTTAATATATCGGTGGAATAAAGTTGCATTAAAACGTCTTTGCAATACAGATCTAAATCCTCCTTGGCAACAGCACAAATAAATTTGTCTTCTCTGGGTGTTGCCGTTTTCCTCTGCCCTTGTCTTGGCACCTTATGGCCATTATTTCTTTGCGACAAGTATAAACGAGACCTGTAAACAGTTTTGGGAGAAATATGAAACAGTTTCATGATTTCGTTCACTGATAATCCCCATCTCCCAAAATTTCATTTGTTTTGCCTTTGTTCATTTGTCTTCCAATTTGTTTCAGAAATGACCAGGTCTGGTCATCTACTTCTCTCAGGAATGAAAAGGGACTAGTTTTCCCTCTCAAAATATACAAAAATGGTCGACAACACTATGGTTGTGATGAATGAAATATAACAATATAAAGGCTTGTAAAATAAAATAAAAAAATGTGCGCATTTCAGCATAGTTGCAATACT